AGCTAATCTGTTAGCTGGTTCTAAGCTAATCTGTTAGCTGGACCATTTGTTAGCACGTTCAGAGCTAATCGGTTAGCATGTTCCAAAGCTAATCTGTTAGCCGGTTCCAAAGCTAATCTGTTAGCTGGTTCCAAAGCTAATCTGTTAGCTGGTTCAGAACTAATGTGTTAACATGCTCAGAGCTAATTTGTTAGTTGGTTTAGAGCTAATCTGTTAGCTGGTTCTAAGCTAATCTGTTAGCTGGACCATTTGTTAGCACGTTCAGAGCTAATCGGTTAGCATGTTCCAAAGCTAATCTGTTAGCTGGTTCAGAACTAATGTGTTAACATGCTCAGAGCTAATTTGTTAGATGGTTTAGAGCTAATCTGTTAACTGGTTCTAAGCTAATGTTTTAGCCGCTCTGAGCTAATCTGTTAGCATGTACCGAAGCTAATCTGTTAGCTGGTTCGGAAGCTAATCTGTTAGCTGGTTCAGAGCTAATGTGTTAGCATGCTCAGAGCTAATTTGTTAGTTGGTTCAGAGCTAATCTGTTAGCTGGTACTAAGCTAATGTTTTAGGCGCTCCGAGCTAATCTGTTAGCTGCATCAGAGCTAATCTGTTAGCTGGTTCTAAGCGAATGTTTTAGCTGCTCCGAGCTAATCTGTTAGCTCCTTCAGAGCTAATCTGTTAGCAGCTTCAGAGCTAGTCAGTTAGCTGGTTCAGAGCTAATCTGCTAGCATGTTCCAGAGCCAATCTGTTAGCTGGTTCGGAGCTAATCTGTTAGCTGCTCCAGAGCTAATCTTTTAGCTATTCCAGACCTAATCTGTTAGCTGCTTCAGAGCTAATCTGCTAGCATGTTCAGAACTAATCCGTTAGCTCATTCAAAGCTAATCTGTTAGCTGCTTCAGGCTTAATCTATTAGCATGTTCAGACCTAATCTGTTAGCTGCTCCGGAGCTAATCTGTTAGCTGGACCATCTGTTAGCTGCAACAGAGCTAACCTGTTGTCTGCTTCAGAGCTAATCTGCTAGCGGCTCAGAGCTAACTTGTTAGCTGCTCCAGAGTTAATCTGTTAGCATGTTCCATAGCTAATCTGTTAGCATGTTCCAGAGCTAATCTGTTAGCTAGTTCAGAGGTAATCTGTTAGCATGTTCCAGAGCTAATCTGTTAGCTGCTTCACTTCTTCACTGACTGTAAAATATCATGTGATAGTCCAAAGTATTTCTGTGTGTACTACTGCAGTATTTCGTCAGTCCAGTTGTTTCTTCAACTTCCTTCTTCTTCTTCTTCTTCTTCTTCTTCTTTTCGTTCAGGTTTTTATCATCACGCTCATCGGTGACATTAAATTCCAGCACTTCAACCCGGTCCTTGAAACCTACATCAACCAACACTTCAGCGCCACCTTGGCTTACACGTAAGTACTGCTTCTCTTACTTCCCCATGATACCATATATTGCGATACTACAGAAACGAGCTAATTTGTTAGCATGTTCAAAGCTAATCTGTTAGCGTGTTCCAGAGCTAATCTGTTAGCATGTTTGGAGCTAATATGTTAGCTGCTACAGAGCTAATCTGTTAGCTGGACCATCTGTTAGCTTTCACAGAGCTAAACTGTTAGCTGGTTTAGAGCTAATCAGCTAGCATGCTACAGAGCTAATCTGTTAGCTGGTTCAGAGCTAAACTGCTAGCATGTTCCAGAGCTAATCTGCTAGCATGTCCCAGAGCTAATCTGTTAGCTGCTACAGAGCTAATATGTTAGCATGTTCAAAGCTAATCTGTTAGCTGTTTCAGAGCCAATGTGTTAGCATGTTCTGAGCTAATTTGTTAGCATGTTCAAAGCTAATCTGTTAGCGTGTTCCAGAGCTAATCCGTTAGCACGTTCACGACTAATCTGTTATCTCGTTCAAAGCTAATCTGTTAGCTGCTCTGGAGCTAATCTGTTAGCTGTTTCACAGCTAATCAGCTAGCATGCTCAGAGCTAATCTGTTAGATGCTACAGAGCTAATCTGCTAGCATGTTCAGAGCTAATCTGTTTGCTGTTTCAGCGCTAATCTGTTAGCATGTTCCAGAGCTAATTTGTTATCTGGTTCAAAGCTAATCTGTTAGCTGCTCTGGAGCTAATCTGCTAGCATCTTTCAAAGCTAATCTGCTAGCATGTTCCGAGCTAATCTGCTAGCATCTTCCAGAGCTAACCTGTTAGCTAGACCATTTGTTAACTGGTTCGGAGCAGATACAGAAAAAACATTGCGATACATCTGCGCTATCCCCCCCCCCTCCCGCAGGAAGCTAACCGGCGTACTCAACTACTACGTTAGCCACGCGGAGGAGCCAGACCTGACGGAGCGTCTCTTCGCGGCGCTCAAGGCTCTGAAATACCTCTTCAGGTTCATCGTCCAGTCCCGGGTCCTGTATCTGAGGTGACCTTTGACCCTTTGACCCCTTGACCTCCTCCTCTGCGGGTTTAACCTTTGACCCCTTGCCTTCTGTCTGTTGGCCGCTGTCTGTTGACTGCTATCTGTTGACCGCTGTCTGTTGATCTCTGTCTGTCGGTCTCTGTCTGTTGACCGCTGTCTGTTGGCCGCTGTCTGTTGGCCTCTGTCTGTTTG